GCACCTATTTGACACCTATAGTGGGCTTTGCAAGCAGAAATATTTAGGTTTAAATATCTCCTCTGCCACCTGCAAATTGCAGAAACCTCTCTGTATGTATCAGATTTCTTGTTTGCAAAAATATACATAATGATATATTGCTAGATTGATTGGAGGGAGGATCAGGTGAGAAAGTTCTGTGTTGTTAACATGTGCCTCAGTGCCAGGTACATAATGGCAACTATTACTGCTTCCCCCTGGGGTTAGAGTGGAGAGAATTTGGACAGACCAGATGGTCAGAAGCACACCTGTCAGTGGCAGCTTTTTTGCTTCAAATTCTAGATGCTCAGTAGGTGTTTGTTGAATGAGTGAAGGAATAAAAAACTCAAAATCTGGGTGGTGGCCTGGGAGGGACAATAAGTGCAGCTGTAAATGGTAGCATGAACATTGATGTAGCTCATAATGTTGAGTGAGAGGACTGAGGCACAGTACAGGAGACACTGTATGTTTCCATTAAAGTAAATTTCAGAAACAAGCAAAAGCCCATGATGGAGTCCTACCCTTGGGAGTGACTGAGAATGGAAAGGGCATGAAGTGGGAATCTGCTGGGGGAAAGGGTTGTATAATATGATGGGTTTTGGTCTATGTGTTTTCTTTGGGAAGTCATTGGGCTGTACACTTATGACTGGCACATACAAGTGTATATATGTTAAGTATCAATTATGACTTTTATAAATTGGTGGAAATATAGGCTATAGCTTTTTAAGTATTTCTAGGAACTGCATCCCAATGGAATGAGAAATACAGTGACACCAAGAGTTAATTTTCCTCTGTGTGCGCCTTGAACAAAAAGACTTAAGAAACCCAAATCTTTTAGAAAATTAACTAAATTTTAGGATTAAAAACCCTTAGCTAATTGATGTTTTAAAAATTAGGGGCCATTTTTTTTGTATTCTCAAACCACCTTCTTTTCATATACTTAATCGCCACAAAGGGGAAACGAGTTGCTTTATGGTGGAGAAATCTGACAGATATCACTTCATTGAGTGATCAAAGTGAGCACCTCCAACCATGAAACACATTGAATTCAAGCACCATCTGGCCCAACACAATGGGAAGATCCAGCATTGCTTCTCTGATAGTTGGTGCAAAAGGAGCATCACCTGAGCCTAATTATGAGGATGTATCAGACAAAACCAAATTGTGGAACATTCTATAAAACAATGAGCTTGTACTCATCAGAGGTGCTGAGGTCAATACAGCCAAAGGCAGCTGAAGAATTATACTAGACCCAATCAGACTAACAAGACATGACAACTAAATGCAACAGGTGCTTTTTAACTGGATCTTCACTATTGGGACAACTAGAAACCCTGACTAGGCCCTCAGAAACAAGTGACTAAAATCTTGGTGTTATGTTCAGGTATGTATGTTCTCAGTGGCATGTAGGATGATGCTCCTTAGTCCATTCTGGCTTCTTTAATAGAATATCATGGACTGAATGAATGGCTTATAAATAATAGAAATTCATTTTCCCCAGCTTTTGAGGCTGCAAAGCTCAAGATCAAGGTACTGGCAGATTCAGTATTGATGAAAACCTGCTTTCTGATTCAGAGACAGCTGTCTTCTCATTATAACATCACACGAAGGGAAGGGCGAGGGAGTTCTTTGGGGCTCTAATCCCCTTCATGAGGGCTCTGTCATGACCTTGTCATCTGGCAAAGTCCACACCTCCAAATATAGTCATATGGGGTTAAAGTTTCAACATATGAATTTGGGGAACACAAACATTCACCCTTTAATAGGTAGGAAATACACAATAGGGCTTTTGGAGGTGGTACAGCATCAGGTTGGCAAATTAAGCTCACCAGATTCAGGACAAAAGATCCTATATATGTTACTTACAGCCTTTATGTCAATTTGTTATTATTTGAAATAAAAACAGAGAGTAGTTTCCATGGCTGCTTTAGTCAAGAGGATTTGATTTCAGAGGACAGTCTGGGAATACCAGTGGACATGCTCCCCTTGGATTGCAGATAAATTGACCAGCAATCTTTAGCTGGGACAAGATACCCATGATACTAAGTAATATTCTTTTATTTGACTTTGATCTCCTTCTCTACATATCTGATTGGGTATTTGAAAAAGAGAGATGTGTGTGTGTGCTTTGTGCACATATTCTGAAATTAAAGGCAATATTATTAGGAGGGCTTTAAGATGAATTAATTTGTAGGAAGCTACTGAAACCTTTGAATCATTTAGATTAAATTTGCTTTGCCAGGCAGGCCCACTTCCACCCTATTCTGTTATCGGTGGTAGATTGGCCCTGACAACCCTAATAAATTACACCGTCCAGCTTCTGCTGCTGATGCTGATACCACTGGTGATAGAATAAGAATGAAAGAGGAGACAGAGAAAATCTAGTCACGGGGGATATTCAGTGTGGTAAAGAATAAAGCAGGCATCTGCAGACGTCGTGAATTAATGATGCCTCTTCCCCAAGTTACACGTATTACTTGAAAAGCATGTATTCAGTCTTCTGGTGGAAGGACCAGGATGACAGAAAGCATTCATTGGGCAGTCAGACAGCCGAGCTTTGTGCAGCAGAGTGCTGGAAACCATGTAATCCTCGGCACAAAGATGAGATTTTTCTCGATGTGGTCTCTCTAGTGATGAAGATGGACTTGCTCTGGTGCCCCAGGTCAGTGACTCTAATTTGGAAGCCTACCAGTTGACCTCCAGGTAGAGTCTAAGTTGTGCGGATGAGCCAAGAGAAGAAGTCACCCTCAAAAGAAAGCCTACCAGCACCATTCTAAGTAAATGAGCTCATCGCCATCTCCCATACTGACAGGAATCAGAGATATCATGGTTTACCAGTGCAGACACTCATGAATCCAACCAGAGGGCAAAGTATGGGTCTTTGATGTTTTCTAGGCACAGAAAGAGGGCTGAGCATTCCTTTCCTCCTGTAAAGTCTGTATTTGGGGTGATGATTGAACTGAGCAAACGAACTCATTACTGGACAATTCTGGAGGCCTAATGCCCACTGACAATTCTTAGCTGTCAGCACTACTAGAGTCAGGAATACCAGGGCTTTTCTGCATTCGGACACTGGATGTGTTCTCCTGAGAATTTTCACACTAGTAAAACAAAGCATTACAATGATTAAATTTGAAAAGGAACTTGAAATATATCACCAATATGTTAGTTGATGACACTTTAACACAGAAAGTATATCTTCCTGTTTAAAATTGAAATGCATTCTCAAATACTGTTCGCAAATGGAGTCAAAAGAAACATACACAGAACAAGTAGCCTGGTAACAATTTGAAATCCATTCTACAGAGGGTTTGAAAACAGCACCTGATGGAGGAAGAAGAAAAAATGCTAAGGGGTAATTTTCCCTTGAAGTAATCAAGTGTGGTAGCGTTTAGTTGATTTATTTTTAATTTGACACAGCTATTGTTTTCTAAGAACTGCACAGGATAGATTTCAAAAAGATTCAAGTCTGCCCCCTAGTGTGAAGATAGATAAAAGCAACTGCAGGAAGGCATCTGTTGAAAGTATCTTGTGAGAAAGCAGGTATCACAGTGCTATATGCAAAAATTAATGTATGTCATAGGATAGTCAAGTCCAAATTATTTTTTACATTGAATTTATGTAAAACTGCAGTAGCCCCTATGTAAGACACCAAAGAAATGAAATAATTAGCCTGAGTTCTCCAGATAGCCAGGTTATTATTAAATATCACCCATATATACACTGTTCCCAGAAAGAGTTTGATCATGGCTTTGCACAACAGCTTTGTGTGGTTAGTTATTTCCATTGCATTTCTCTGGCCTTCTCCAACAGAATTGCTAGGCAGAGGGTGTTTCATTCATACTATGACTGGAAAGTGATTGTGGGTGTAGCATTCGGGTATAGTGTTTTGGTTGTATGTTTTTTTTGTTTCACTCGACAGGCAGAGTTAGACAGTGAGAGAGAGAGAGACAGACAGAGAGAAAGGTCTTCCTTTACCATTGGTTCACCCTCCAATGGCCGCTGCAGCCCGTGCGCTGTGGCTGGCGCACCGCGCCAATCTGAAGCCAGGAGCCAGGTGCCTCTCCTGGTCTCCCATGCGGGTGCACAGCCCAAGGACCTGGGCCATCCTCCACTGCACTCCCGGGCCACAGCAGAGAGCTGGACTGGAAGAGGGGCAACAGGGACAGAATCTGGTGCCTTGACCGGGACTAGAACCCCGTGTGCCGGCACCGCAGGCTGGATGTAGCATTCTTAAAATCATATATTTAATATATCCAACCCAATATCAAACAGAAAATGTGTTTGATATTTGACTTAGTGCAGGTAAATACAAGATTTTGATACATTTATAAGACCCAAGGGTATTTCCTTTTTGGTCTTTGTAGCAAATTCTGTTGATAGTCTGCTTGGATCCCTTTGGATTTCCTTCATTGTATCAATGTGTGCTTTCCTGGGATTCTTGGTGCTTTGTTTCTCATAACTTATACTTGGAACTCAGTGCTACAGTTTAAATCCATGTTAGAAATTATTTTTAAATTTTCATTTATCTATTTGAGAGACAGAGGGATACAAACACAGACAGAGAGCTCCCATCTGCTAGCTCAATCCTCAAATGTGCCCATTGTCCAGTACTGGGTTAGGCTGAAGCTGGGAGCCAAGAACACATTCCAGATTTCCCATATGGGTAGCAGAAGCCAAGCCACTTGGACCGTCACTGATGTCTTCTCAGGGTATACATTAGGAAGAAGCCAGAATCAGAAGCTGGAGGTGGGTATTGAACATAGGCAGTCTGATATGAGTTAGGCATCCTAACTAGCATCTTAACTGCCAGGCCAAACATCTGCCCCCATATGTTGGAGCTTAATTAAACCCTAATTGGATGGTATGAAGAGGTGAGGCCTTTAGAGGTAGTTAGGTCATGAGGGTAGGGTTCTCATGAATAGTATTATCAACCTTCTAAAAGTTCTGGAGGGAGTTAACTAGGCCCTTTCCCCTTCTAGCTCTTCTGCCATATAAGGACACAGTATTCAAGGTGCCATTTTGGAAGCACAGACCAAACACTGAACGTGCCAGCACCTTGAACTTGGATTGCCCAGCCTCCAGAACTGTGAGTAATAATTTTCTCTAGTTTATAAATTACCTGCCACAGGTATTTGCTGTAGCAGCAGAAAATGTGATGGATTAAGACACTCATCTTTGAAGGACTGTCTTTTGCATACTATATCAACACTAATTTGTAGGGCTCTAGCTAGAGAACCTAAGAAGGTAAAGAAAAAACTTTTTCTTCCCCTATAGGGAAGCATGAGAACTGAACTCCTTGCCTGCAGTAGGTATCAATGCTCAGCATTGATTTATGTTCCAGAACTCCCTGTGAATGAGGCCAAGGCTGGAATTTTACATGAAATTGCCCCATTGCTTAGTTTCTTTTTATGGTCTGTCTCCCTTACTCCTTTACCAGTTTTTCCTGGGAGCACTTCCCAAAAAGTCCTTTGCACATGAGTTGTTGCATAAAGGTCTCCTGTCCTGAAACAGTCCTCGTCTTTAAATTCTTTAAGCTGATATGAGCAATATTACTCAACCAGCTCCACTGTCTCAGGCAAAGGGTATCTGGTCCATTTTAGAAGATGCCCCAGTGACATGTGCTAACTGAGCACCGAATCATGGTGGACAGTATATGTCTGAACCCAAAGTTCTCCCTGAGGCCCATTCCCTGGGGCCTCACTGCCCTTAGTTCCTACACTTGGTTCCTTATTCTCACTGAACAGGGGCCTACTTCTCCCAGTACACTGGAAGTCTTTCCTCTTCATTGCTTTCCTATTTGGAAAGTCTTCTCTCCAAGTGTCATTCTAGTTTCCTCAGTCACCTGTTGAAATTCCCTTCACTTTTTTGCCCCATTTTCCTATTTTTCTCTGGGCATTTATTACCACCTGGTGTTTATCGGCTTTGATTGCATCTCCCTCTCACTAGAACATGAATTCCACAAAACAGAATTGATTTTACAAATCCCTATTGGCTAGAACAGGGTGAGCAAACATTTCTGTGAAATATCCACAGAGTTAATAATTTAGGCTTTGTGGGCCATTCAATCTTCATGGCAATTATTCAGCTCTACCATTATAGACAGGGCATACATTGGAGAGATACAAATGAATGAGTGTGGCTGCATTCTAATAAAACTTTATTTACAAAATCAAACAGGACTCTAGTTTTATTTGAGAATGTAGGAAGCTTGGAAGCCATCACCCCACCTGAAGAGTAAGTAAAAAGCTAAACAAACTGAACCAATCAAGAACTCTTCTTAGATCCACCAGAGAAGTCAGGTCAGAGGAAACACTGCTGCCCCCAAAATGTTGAGCAGACAGGATACAGAGAATCACAACTTCCTTATAGCAGAAAGCCAAGAGCAGAATCTTGCATGGGAACCACCCCTGGAGTACAAAATCTAACTCTGACTGGTGAATTGCTAGACTCACAGGATGGATGAGCCTCTGGGATAAGACCTGCAGGAGGGCCAACTCTTTTGTGGGTTTTCTCTCCAGGAGCTTAACTAGGCTTTCATAGTTTTAATAGCAGCTTAACAGCGACTACTGGAGAAAAATTCATTCATACTTCTGGCAGCAGGAGGAGAAAGGATCCATTTTGGTCTACACCAGAGCCTATATTCATCATCTTCTTTTTTTTTTTTTTTTAACTTATTTATTTATTTGAAAGGCAGAGGGAGAAGAGAGAGAGAGAGTGTGTGAGTGAGTGAACAAGCTCCCATTCACTGGTTCATTTTCCAAATGGCTGGAATGGCTGGAGGTGGGCTGATCTGAAGCCAGGAGCCAGATGCTTCTTTCAGGTCTCCCATGTGAGTGCAAGGGCCCAAACACTTGGGCCATTCTCCGCTGCTTTCCCATGCACATCAGCAAGGAGCTGGATCAGAAGTGGAGCAGTGAGGACTTGAACTGGTACCCATATGGGACGCTGATGCTGCAGATGGTGGCTTTAACCTGTTTTGCCATGGCACCTGCTCTGCCTATGTTCTTCTTAAGAAGACTTTCCCTCAGAGGAAACTATTTTGCTGGAATCTAACTTATTGATTTTTTTTTCAGAACCTAACTGACCTAGGTGAAGGGAAATGCCCAAATTTAGTCCTTGCCAGCCTTCCTATCTGTCCTGCGAGAGAAGAACTGAGAAGCATGTGTGAAGCTAACAGTCCAGGACTGAGCCCTGATCATAGGACTACAAGATCCTTCCCTGCCTCCTTATCTCACCCCTCACAGTTCCTTTTATTCAGTACATCATGTATAGTTATCAAATCACATGGCATACAGAAAGTTTGAAGAGAAATAACAAGGATTGGGATCCGATTACGTTATAGCAAGGCGTTGTAATTAACAGATTGGGAATTTAAAACAATTATGATTAATGTGCTAAGGGCTCTAATAAATGAAGGGGATGGCATGAAAGAACAAAAGAGCAATGAAAGCAGCGAGATGGAATTTCTAAGAGTGAAAAAGAAATGCCAGAGATCAAAACACTGACAGAAATGAAGGATCCTTTTAGTATCTTGGGCACAACAGAGGCAAGAATCTTTTAGCTTAAGAATATCGCAGCAGGGCCGGCGCTGTGGCTCACTAGGCTAATCCTCCACCTAGCGGCGCCGGCACACCGGGTTCTAGTCCCGGTCGGGGCGCCGGATTCTGTCCCGGTTGCCCCTCTTCCAGGCCAGCCCTCTGCTGTGGCCAGGGAGTGCAGTGGAGGATGGCCCAGGTGCTTGGGCCCTGCACCCCATGGGAGACCAGGAAAAGCACCTGGCTCCTGGCTCCTGCCATCGGATCAGCGCGGTGCGCCGGCCACAGTGCGCCGGCCGCGGCGGCCATTGGAGGGTGAACCAAGGGCAAAGGAAGACCTTTCTCTCTGTCTCTCTCTCTCACTGTCCACTCTGCCTGTCAAAAAAAAAAAAAAAAAAAAAAAAAAAAAAAAAGAATATCGCAGCAGAAACATGCAAAACTGAAAAGGAATGAGCAAAAATACTGGAAAATGTGGAACTCAATGTGCAAGAATCTTGGGAAAACTGCAAAAGATATAATTTACAGGTAATGGGGATTCCACAAGGAGAAGAAAGAAAGAAACAGAAGAAAATATTTGAAGCAACAGTGACTGAGAATTTCCACAAGCTAATGTCAGACATCAAAGCATACAGCTGGGAAACTGAGAGAACAGCAAACAGGATAAAAAACAAAAGGAAACTTATACCTAGCCATATTACTTTCAATCTATAGAAAAATAAAAATTAAAGAAAACATATTGAAAGAATTCACAAAGTGGGGTTAGGATACTTTACCTAAAGTGGAACAAGAGTTACATCTTACTTCTCAGGACGCATGCAAGCAAGAAGAGAGGGGAGTGAAATATTTCAAGTACTTAAGTATTTGAGAGAAAAAGAATCCCACCAAACTGAATTCTATATCTTGTTAAATTGTCCTTGAAAAGAGACCTAGCGATAGTCTCAAATATTGCGGGAATCAGTTGCCCCTAGATATGCCTTGGAAGAGATGCTAAAAGTCCCTCATAGAGAATATAAGATACTGTAGATCAGAATCTCAGATTTTCATAGTAAATGGGAGACTATCAGAGAAGAAATGGTGAAGGTAAAACCAAGACTTATAATATTTGTTTTCTTAACTCAGCTAACCTATCAACTTGTTTATTCTAAATAAAAACAAAGTATTATATATATACCTACAAATGAGTGAAATGAATGGCAACAATGACAGAAGGAATAAGTGTCTTTGTATTACAAAGCACTCATATATTTTTTTTTAAATTTATTTGACAGGTAGAGTTATAGACAGAGAGAGAGACAGAGAGAAAGGTCTTCCTTACGTTGGTTCACTCCCCAAATGGCTGCTATGGCCAGTGCTATGCTGATCCGAAGCCAGGAGCCAGGTACTTCCTCTTGGTCTCCCATGTGGGTGCAGGAGCCCGAGCACTTGGGCCATCCTCCACTGTCTTCCTAGGCCACAGCAGAGAGCTGGACTGGAAGAGGAGCAATCGGAACTAGAACCTGGTGCCCATATGGGATGCCGGCGCTGCAGGCGGAGGATTAACCAAGTGAGCCATGGCGCCGGCCCCAAAGCACTCATGTTTATGAAGTCATACAGGATTGTCTGAGTGGAGTTGATATATTGAATACTCGAGGAAAACCACTAAAACGGATAAGAAGGAGGTAATATGAACAACTCTAGGCTCATAAATCCAACAATCTAGATGAAATGTGCCAGTTCAGGGATGACACAATCTGCTGAAATTCACAAGAGAAAACAGAAGATCCAAATCTGCCTGAGTATCTGTAACAATGAATCAATAATTAATAAGCTTCCAAGAGATAAAACACCAGGTCTGTCACTCCCCGTCTTCATGGAGGAACGACACAAGACCCTGCGCTGTTCTTTTGTCTGCTCGGCCCTCCCCGGGTTTGCTGCTGGTTCTTCCCGGGTTGGCTACCGACCCTTCCACCTCCGTGGAAGGGCGGTTCCCCCTAGCCACTTTCCCCACTTCCGCGGGGGAGCGGCACACCGCCGGCCAGCTCTCTCGGGGACTGCACAGGTGTTCCTTCAGATAGATGTTGCCCGTGCATGTTGTCTCTCTCCTCCTTTATAGTCCTCTTCCACCAATCCCAACTCTGCTACCCACACGCCGAGTACGCTGCTCTCCTCCAATCAGGAGCAGGTCCTACAGTTTATTGGTTGAACTGGAGGCAGCAGTGTAGAAGCTGTTTCTCCCTTCTCAGCGCCATATTGTGGGAGAGCAGATGCATAGAATAAGTCTTAATTCCAGTAACTTAGTCTAGTGCGAGTTGCTCCCAGTTGCTCCCCACACAGGTCCAGATGGGTTCTCTGGTAAATTCTACCCAACGTTTACAGGAGGGTCACACCAATTCTACACAATCTCTTCCAGAAGAAACAAGCAGAGGGAATACTTGAATGACATTGCTCTATTACCAAAACTAGCCAAAGACATTACGAGAAAAGAAAACACAGACCAAATGTCTCCTGTCCAATTTTTTTAATATTTATTTACTTACTTATTTTATTTGACAGGTAGAGTTATAGACAGTGA